CCTGAGCCCATGGGTTCGAGACCCGCCCAGGCAACTTGGTGAGACCTCATCTCTAAATAAATAAATAAATAAATTAGCCGGGCATGGTAGCACATGACTATAGTTCCAACTACTTGGAAGGCTGAGGTGGAAGGATTGCCGGAGCCCAGCAGGTTGACGCTGGGGTGGCTGTGAGTGTGCCATGGCACTGTAGCCTGGATAACAGAGTGAGACTCCAAGTCAAAAAAAAAAAAAAAATTTATATAAAAATGGACTCATTTAGTGTCAAGTCATACATACTTAGCCAGTATCAAATTCATTTAAAAAGGAAAGAAGGAAGAGGAGAAAGGGGAGGGAAGAATGGATGAAAGAAGATAATTATTTTACTGAAGATTGGATGTATTCTTAGATTATACCCTAATGCTAAAATGTTTTAACCTCCAGAAAACAGTTGGAAAAACTGATGGCATGAATATTTAGATTTACTAGAGGCTAGCAAATTAGGCAAAGCATGTTAACCAAAGCAAAATTTTCTAACTTTGATAATGCTTATCTCTCGGGTATTACTGATTGATGCTGAGTTTGCAAGTGCAGACAGCTGACCCCATTTTATGATGGTGTCATGAACATGGAAAACCAGTAGTCACAATTCTGTGCTCCTTTCATTTCGCTGCACATTATCGTACACAAAGTAGCTGGAAGGGAACATACAACCTTACTATCCAACCACCATTCTCAAGTTATCTATGAGGCAGCCTCAAATCTGGAATTTCGTTTTTAAAACAAGGCCTACAGTAATCAGTGTGAATAAGTGCTGTAATGTCCATTCACTGAAGCATGACACCTTAATAGCAAAGCCATTCTCAGAAGATATTTACTTTCACTCTGTACCCAGTGCTAACAGATTGTCACTGGTTCTCCCCCAGACCAGAAGGGGAATTACTAGAGACAGCAGAAATCAGGAAGAATTCTTAGGAAAGGAGCAAACAAGTTAACCACAAAAAGCAGATGCACATCCGAGAATGCACCGTCTGGGTCCAGTTAGTGTTGGGGCAGATAGCTCTAAACAGATAGCTCCAAGATCTCTGAAAGCTTGGCAGGAAGTCAGGAGTAGTTCTTGCTGTTCTTAACAAAGACAGCAAGGCATCAAGGAAAAGTTCATTTCAGTTCACTTGGCTTTCAGAGGGCAGGGAATTATGCAACACATTTTAGAAAAAGTCTCCTCAAAACAGAGTAAGAAATAGTCACAAAGCTTTGGTAATGTTAAAAAAAAAGGGTAAATTACTTATCTGGAAAATGCATTTGACTGGAACACTTTGTTTATCTAAGTCCCTGGATAAATGTGACGTGACTGCTACAGCTTTTGTGCACTAACTTGCTTTTTTCCAATGATTCCCTGTAGAAACAATTATTTCTTACAAGTTTGCCTGTGCCATCTTTTTTTTTTTCCATCTTATCCGTAACTTTCAGATAAAATGATTGTTGTTAAAATAAAGACAGACTTGAAACTATCACTCATTTTCTTTTCTTTTCTTTTCTTTTTTCCTGTCTTCCCCTCAGATGACGAAGTAATAGGAGTTAGTGTCAGTGTTCGTGACCGAGAAGATGTCGTCCAAGTCTGGAATGTAAATGCCTCTTTAGTGGGTGAAGCGACTGTTTTAGAAAAGATCTATGAACTTCTGCCCCACATAACTTTTAAAGCAGTATTTTATAAACGTAAGTGCTTCATTTCCAGTTACCACTTTCTAGCTTATTTTTTTAAAGATAGAAACTGTGTTGCAAATGAGATGAAGGCAGAATCACTTGAAATTCGATAATTGAGAAAGGAATTCAATAAAAATACATTTAAATGTTTAGAAAAAGAAGTTTAGTTTCAGGAATTAAAATGAGGTTTTATTGTTGCCTAATTGCATGAATCAGAAAAGGAAATACATATTGTATTTGGTATTTCAAAAATTTAAATCTGGACTTAAATTCATAATTCTCAAGGGGAAAAAAGATTACATTCTATTGGAAACAACAATAACAAAAGTGTCATTATAGGAACTGACAAGTAGATATTCAATCATCCCTTCGTAAACAGGGATTTATAGTGTATAACATCTGTATTTGTGGAAGAAATACATACTGAACACAGGCATGATTGAATGCTCTACTGAAATGCTAATACTTCCTCATTATGGATGACTCTGACACAGAGAGAATTCACGCATAGTGGTGAAATGTTAACAGTATGAATAGGTGTGTGGACCCATTGTTTCCATCATGATTCATGTTCATTGCTTTGTGTGCTCTTTTGAAAAAGTCATCTTTTTTCATAATGAAAGCATCTTAGTGCTATTAAACCAATGTTTGGTAGATCAAACCTCAGGTTACACTTTTGACAATGAGGTACAGAAAAAGATTGACAGCCCTACACATATATGATAAATTTCCCATAGTCAAAACTGTTCCTAGAGTCAATAGCCCATTTTTTTAACTACTGTATTTCATTGAATCTAAGATGCCCTTGATGATAAGATGCCCTGTTATTTTCATATTACTAAAAAAGAAAAAGAAAGGCCTCCAGTTAAATTATGCCACATTACCGATACCAGAGGTCTTCAAATATGTGTGTGTTGTGGTGAGGAGTGCATCTTAGAGCTGCTGAAATACATTTCCTTATTGTTGCACTTTTTCCAACTCCTTGCTAAAAATGATAAACAATCAAATTTTATTTTGTGATCGTCCTAGTATGACAGAGGATATTAAAACTAAGGTCTCCATCTGAGGAATCATACAATTATGGGCCAAATGATTTAGGTTTTCAGCAGTGGGACTGATCTGGCACTACAGATATTCAGGATGTACTAACATTCTGAATTTAAATGAAAATTTAAATAAAAGAGCCAGAAAGATGGCACTGCAGAAGTTGCTTGTCGGCTGTGCAGTGTGGAATTTGCAAATTTGTTGATGCCATTTTTATTCTTTAGGTATACATTAATTATATTTTCACCAGATATTAATTGAAAGGTCACCAAGGGTTTTTTCTTTTTTCTATTCCACAAGAATAACTAGCAGGAACTCTACAGAAGGGAGTGTGTTCCATTGCCATGTATGAATGAGGCTAAGACATTCTTTAACACTTTTGAACCAGCTCCACGCTTGACTCAAAAGGGGAGGAAAGCAATTTGGAGTCATTAAGTCAGGCACTTTGGATTTTATCCCACATCAACAATGTGACCTTGAGCAAGTCACAACTTCTTATCCTTTTACTTTCTCATCAGAATATCAAGGAGGCTGGTCTCAGATGATCTCCAAGGTTCCTTCAGCTTCAAAATTCCATGTAACACAGTTAGCAGCAGACTCTACATAATATGTTTTGTTATATAACTAGGCCACAGAGTGGTTAGGCTAGTTTTTAGGGCCATAGCAATAATCAGGTAAGACTGACAAAGGGCAGGATGATTCACTGCTTAGCTGTTGTGATGACTGAGGGGTAAGAGGGGGAAGCCAAACAAGAGCAAAGTTGCATCTTGGCCAGTTGCATCAAGCTGAATAGACACCCTAAAGGCAGAGGCCATTGTGAAGTTTGTGAATAATACAGAACTGGCTACGGATCTCAGCAGAAATCCATATTTTAATGGCATAAATTAACATTAAAAAACTCAAAGTCTATTCAAATAAAAATTTGAATTTGAAAAAACAAGCAGTTCTCTTTTTTGTATATAAAGCAGGCAGTCCTTTACTCAGCAGGGTTATACACCACTTGCTACAGAAGTGATTTGGAAAAATGAGGTTTGGGCAGAAATCTTATTCACGGCATGATGAACAATTGCAGGCTGAGCTAAGTTAGAAATGGCCAATCCATGCTTTTACTCTGTCTTGTTAATAGGATCCTGGTGTAAGTATTCACAAGTTTACAGAAGTGAGGTGACTGTAGATTTTCCACAGAGAAAGATTCCAAGCATATTTGGTAACAGCCTTCAGCGGATGAAGGAGTACTGAGCCCTTGATAAGTTACATTTGACTTGGATACAGATTGATTAATTGACTGAGAAACTCACAATGTACAGAGACTACCCCTCCCACCCCCCACCCGACCCCCAGTTCTATTAAGTTCTTCAGAGCATCAGAATGATAAAGGTCTTTTCTGCCATGAGAATTCTTTTAAAGCAGGAACTTGGAGCCAAATCTGGCCCCTCCTTTTCCCTCCCCTCTTGTCCTGTTTTTGTGGGTGCATCTGAGAATGGTTTTTACATTTTTCAATAGAGAGAAAAAAATCAAAAGAAGAACTATATTTTGTGGCACATTATAATATATATCAAATTTCATCATCCACAAATATAAGTTTATGGGTATTTAAATAGCGATGCCCATTTATGTCCATATTGTCTATAGCTGCTTTAGTGCTACAATGGCAGAGTTAGTAATTGGGACAGAGAGCGTATGACCCACACAGACTAACACATTTGTCCTCTTCCCCTTTCTAGAAAAAGTTTGTCAATTCCTGGCTTAGAGTAGTTTTATATTCCCTTTCTTCCAAAGCTAATTTAAGGTTGCCAGAACTCCCTCTGTTGGTTAGACACTCCCAGTTCTGAATGTTCTTTTTATTATCTCCTGAACCTATCAACATTGCAGTGTTTCAACTATGACCGCCCAGACTGTTCCTCACACCTAGAAGTAATAAAAGTCTTTGGATGGTCCATATCTCTGGACTTGATGTGTTGAGGCCAGTATCACTACAGTTCTATGGTTTTCTCTTTGACCCTGAAGCACATCAAACCATGTTTTCTTTGGTATCTGCCCTAAATATATTTATTTTTTAAAAAAGAAAAAACACACACATAAAGTGAAATATTTATAGTTATAACTGTGAGAAATAGCTGATAAAATTCATTCAGCTGGCCCGGCTCAGTGGCTCAGCCTTTAATCGCAGCACTTTGGGGGCAGGTTTGAGCCTGCAGGTTTGAGACCGGGCGTGGTAGCGCGCGCCTGTAGTTCCAGCTACTTGGAAGGCTGAGGCGGAAGGATTGCCAGAGTTTGGCCAACTGAAGGTAATTCAGGGATCTGTGAAGTGCTTCCTCTCCAATGTTTTACCCAAGCAAAGAGCAGATTGGGATGAACATCCAAGATTGATCTAGAAGGGAGAACAGTTTCATTCCTCCCACTCCCTCAGCAGCAATATGAAGAATGTAGACCATATTAAAACAGAATTGGGAAGGGCACAGAAGGTGAAATGGGCCACACCATCTGTGCCTTCCCAGGATACCATTTACTGCTGGTGTGGGGCAACCTTGTTTCATGATGACGGTGACCCGTCTATGGAGTGGATGCTCAAACTTGGCCTTTGGCTTTGGAGGAAGTGTTATGTATTTCATAGTTCTCCTGGGTTCACCTTCCACTCCAAAAAAAGTGGTAGCATACTTTTCTTAAATGCTAGACATCCTCATTATAATCAGTAATTTGGCAAGCCAGACAATAGGGCTGAAAATTCACTGGGAGGATAAAACATGATTGAGAAAAAATAAAAGACCTATCAACTTTATGAAACTTCATTTCCCACAGAGTATTGAGAGATGGGGGTGTGGGAGGACCTAATCTAACTGCTGTCCCCCTGGTGTGGTTCTCTGCCTTGCTTTGTTTTGCTTGTTTTGTTTTATTTTTAAAGATAGGCTCATGAGTGGCTCTGTCATGGGGAACGCCAGGACCCCCCTGCACCCATGCATTTTGTGGGGCACATTTTCCCTGGCAGCATTTGCTTGCAGCCCAACATACTCTCTTCATCAGCTTGCCGGGATGACTCATCCTCTCAGGCACAGCAAGAAGAAACAGGCAGCATGCCCATTGCTTGTTTATTCCTTGTTTTAATTTTCATTATTACGTTTCTCAGGAAATGCACGCCTTAGCTAACAGTTACTGGCAAAAAAGGTATTTGAGTTCTTGCCAACATTTGGGGAAGCTGAATGAGATGCCTAGAGGAGGGTTGGCCCATCCTTTGCTTAAAGTTTTCTTTCCTTTTTTTCTTTTTTGTTTTTTTCTGTCCTTTAGCCCATGAAGAGCATCATGCTTTTGAAGGTGGACGTGGAAAACACTAATTGCACTCTGTAAAGAATTCTTTGTCCTTTGCTGATTGGTTTTGGAAACGGTCTTAACAGGAGGGAGAGTGAAGAGAAGACTTGCCGAAGCCTGATGCTGGTCAATTTAGAGTGGGTTTCTGTCCTTGCAGATTGGGCAATTAGGACTCAAAATAGCAGGTGGGGTGGGGGGATATTGTATGGGTTTCTACAGTCACAATTACTTGCTTTTTAAAAAAAAATTTTTTTTTTTGGCTTTCTAAATTCTCTGTTCTTTTCACTCTGATTTTTTTTTTTTTTTGCCCTTTAAAATTCCTTATTCAGTCTAATTATTGTTTTCTACACTCCCTTTCACTGAGGCTCAAGAAATTGGTTTCCCTTTAAGTAGCTCTGCTGTACCTAGCTAATGAGAATATGCATAGTCGTGACAATGCTGCTTTTCAAAACCACACTGTACGAGGAGGAATACTAGCTTGGTGAAACCTGTCTTCTGATTATTTGTTGTGACACATTCCTACGTACTATGAGCTGGGCATTGTTTGTTTTCTGTCCCAGGGAAAAGAAAAACCATACTTAGTCTGATCTTGCACTGACAGCATACACACATCTTTTATTTTTTCTTTTAAAAACTTTTTTTTTTTTTAGCAATAAGAAGAAAATAATAGTTGGGTTACCTAACATGAAAACTATAATCACAGTTTAGTATCAGGATATAAAGCAAACTGTAGTTATTTGGACCCTCTGTAGAAATATTGCTAATCAGAATTTCAATTTGGCCTTTTCAATGAAAGCCTTAGAGTAGTAGCAAGGAATTTCTCCCAATAGGAAACCTAATATTTCTGATTTAAAGTGGAGATGGTATTTTACTTGTTTGAATTAGTTTCTTCCAAAGTTCGGGTGTGTTTATCCACTTAGGGCTTTCCAAATCAATTCTAACACATTTTGATCAGTGATCCCCTTTTCCTACTCATACTGAGTGTCATTTCTGATCATCGACAGTCCTCTAACTCGGGCAGCTCTCCCCACCCTTTTTTATTTAGCAGCAGGAAATTAAATCTCTTTTTTCAGGATGAATGTGAACATTCACAAAGTTGAACTTTGAGTGCATTCTGTCCATATTAATTGTTGAAATTGCTGGTATATATTGTATTATGCCACCAAAGAAATACTGGTTTTAGCAGAAGAAAACAGCCACCCTCTGAACATTGAAGCTTGCTCAGAAAGTGCTGATGTCTCTCTGTTGACCCTGCCAAACCTCTGGCTGCTTTTGCCTGATACAGGGCAGGGCCATTTGAAGAGGGTTCCTCAGGTTGGCTTGCCTTTGGTGTCACAAGAGCTAGCGCATGCTTATGCTTTTTCCAAAAGGGTGGTACACTCAGAACTTCATTGTTTCCAGGATCTTTAATTCCTCTTGCAGTGCTGGCCAGCAGAGAGAGGTGGGGCTACTTGAAGCTTCTAACATGTGTTTGTAAATAAAGTTCTTCATTCAAATATTTTAAAGGACTTTCAACAATATCTATTTATAAAAGTCATGCCCTTCACTTGAATTACTAACCACATCAACCATAATAATCATCATAATTCTTTTAAATTTTTTTTCTCAAAGAGTATCTTCAGTGACTTCAGAAATGAGAATATCAGGCCCATTTAGCAAAAGGCTGGGAATTTTTTCTCCAAAAGTTGTACTAACATTCAATTTGTTTTAAAATTATGACTCAAGGATTTTTTAAAAAGTATTCTGAATATGAACTAAATTTTTTTAATATAAATATTTTTCTGATAGATAAAAAGATATAATTCACTTCACTATAATTGTCATATATATTTCCATAAGTAAATGGATTTTGAAGTATTTTTATTTTTTGAACTTTATTTAAAGCATTTGTGATGACATGTTCAACTTTTGCATGTATGTAGCCTTTGAAGTATGTAGTCTTTGAAGTAAAAATAAAATAAATAGGAATGTTAGGTTCACATTAATGCTTTCTAGTTTCTATTGTTTATGATCATGGAACATGAACAGATTTTGTCCCAGTGAACTTCTGCAACTATTTCTGACCCCTTGGAAAATACCAACTGTGAGAAGGATTTAATTTGCCTAATGTTAAATACCTATTATCTAAACTACTTTTAAGAGAGGATTTTGTCAGATTTTTCTTTGGAAATTGTTTTAATTGAATATTTAGTCATAATAGACTTTGTATGAACTAAGCTGATTTAATCAGTTTAAAAACCTCTCATTAGCGTCTTAGATTAAAGAAGCTAATACACTTTTGAGATACAAGGAAATATTTTGTGGGGCATGTGACTTTTGTATTAGGGCAGTTTACCCATCTTGGCCAATGCTGGGGCAAGTGTGAACCTCCAGTAGAATTCTGGTCTTTTCAGCCAAGTCCTTACAGGTGCAGCCCTTGTGCTCTCCACAGCGAGCCATGCAGAAACCAAAGCGCTCACTTTCTTGTCTTTGTAATTCCTTAGGGTCTGTGATACAGAGCCAGGAAATCTAATTGTCACTAATATGCTTTCTCTCCTCCCATTATTCCCTAGATTTTCATATCACAGGCACTTGCTTACATTGGGAACATTACACTCATTAAATAAGGACAAGTAATACCCATTTAAAGTAACTTGTCTGTATTTTGACTTTTGTAAGCACGTTCTCAAGTGCTCAATTAGTTTTAAGGTTTCCTCTTTTTCCCCAACTTTTCCACATTTCTGAAATGAGGGTATAGTTTACAAAAAACATGTACATTTAATATAATGTTGCTATTAGATCCATGGTACACTTGGAGAAAAAACTTGAAAAGGAAAATACAACTCTAGTAAACCCTAAGTAAGATTAAGTTGACTCTGACCTTCTCACCCCTCTTCTTGAACTTAGCTCATGTCTGCATCATACACAGTCACGAGGCTTTATAGCTCATAGAAACTTTAGATATAATTGGGTCCAGTAGACATAATATACAATCTACCAGCTGAGCCTTAGCCGATCTTGCCCCTTGTTAAAGACGTAGGGCTAGCAAGTCCCAGGGTTGGGGATTGAGGGCCACAAGCTATGTCCCAGTGCAGGCTCTTAAGTGGAGGACACTCAAAGTCTGTCAACCTAACTTTCCCAATAAGTCACCCTGATCAGGCACTAAATTTCTGATCCAGTCCTGCTGCTGATATGTCTACATATCAGACGTCCTCTTTGTCAATAGTTCCTCTTTCTCTCCCTTTCTCTCTCTCTCTCTCTCTCTCTGTGACTGAAGTGGCATTAGAGTTTGGAGTTTGAAAATAACCTTGCTATGACAGGAGGTGGGCTTTTGCTGTTAGATGCTCAACTCTTAGAGTATCCCAACTTTTGTCCTTCCACAAAACTGACAGCATTTGGAACGATCACATGGTGGCGCTGCCTTCCAGCCAACAGTTCTGGCTCAGCGACTGAATTTATCCAGCTATGTTTGTGGAATTATTTTAAGATCCTACTGCATTTTGCTCTTATCCTTTTATAAAAATTTGACTAGAAAATGTAAAAATGAAACTTGGCGATAAGATATTTAGCTCTCATACACCTAATAAAAATGTGTTAAAGATAGAACTCTCCAAATGTGCTTTAAAACCTCCCATCTTAGGCTCTATTGGCCCTATAGCATTTGTGAAGAGAAAGAATAAAATAAACTAACATAGAGGAAATATTTCAACAATATTATGCCCAAAGAGAGAAAATTAGGGTTTTTTAGCTTTCTAAATATGGAACTTTCTTTTAAAAATGTAAGTCTATCCATCACCCTCTCTATATTTTATGTTTCTATAAGATTTCACTCATTACAAATGAAAGTAGAGGACTGCCTGTATATTGCTTATTTCTTAAAATAATACATTGAGATCAGTTGAAATTACTCAAGAGTTTTTGGTGGCTCAGGATTGTAAAAAGCCTGGATAATTGTCTCTACAGCTGGGAGGAGTCAGAGGGCGAAGAGGAAAAAGATAGGGTCCGAGGTGCAATGAAGAGTCCCTTAGCAGTTAGAGTGGGTTCCCCCTTTACTTCTCCCAAGAAGAAAAACATGTCAAATAGATCCCTTACACATCGGACTATACTGCTCTGGTTTTGTTTTCGATTATTTTTACATATGCTTTCAAATCTAAGAACACCTCTGATTTAGGTTAACCCATTGAGGCCAAAAGTCACCATCTTGTGTTCTAGAGATTCTTTTATGTTACCAGTATGACTCCATTAAAAAAAAACAACAACAGAAAAACTAGGGACTCTAAGAATTTTAGAGCAAAAGGGACCTTCGAGATCATCTACCAGGGATTCTCAGCCCTTAGCATGCAGAAGAGTCACTCAGGTGCTTCCTTATGCAGATTTCTCAATCCCAACCATAGAAGTCTGGGAGGATTAGACACCTGCATTTTTAGCAAGCGCCCCAGTGACTCTAATGCTGAGGGGGCTCAGACCTCTCTTTGGGAACCCCTGATTTTTTCAATCTCCACATATGACAAATTAGTAAAGTCCCCTCCCCACTCCTCAGCTCTCTCAGGTGACCTGTTGTGAATATATAATATCAACAATCTTATGAAGGCTGGAGAAAGCCATTACTACTGCAACTTAAGTCGATGATGCTCTTAAATAAAAGCTTTATGGCTAAGACCACAGCAGTCATAGAAGCCCATCTCTGGAAGTTCATCATGTAAAGTCTTTAATACAGAGTGGTGGCTTTTCTCTTTTCTAAATACCATTTCTGCCTTTTAAGAGAAAAGAAATTAATGTTCAGAAAAAAGTAGTTACTCCATATGTGCAGTAACTACTTTTCTATAATGTCTTATGGCATCAGGGGTTCAGCATCATTGAACAAGATTAAATGAATGTTATAGAGCTATAAAATTGCATGTAAAATAACGCAAAACTGTTCCAGTGACTATCAAAGTAGCCTGGGAATGAATTTCCACTAAAATTAATTGTCACTTTCTAAACGTAGCTTAGTAAAGCTTTTACCAAACTGGAGGGATCCTTTAATACTTAGAAGTGTCAAAGAAATTAAATAAGTATTCCCTAACCCATGTGAATAATAAGCACAAGTCATTGTGAAGTCGATATTTTTTGTTCATCATTACGATCGAAATTTAGAGTCCCATTGTATATGTGTGTGTTGACTTTACCTTATTAGAATATCCAATAAAATAGCCTGTGGATATTCTATGCTCTTGTGTCCTTCAGAAATCATGAGGTTGAATAAATCTGTGTTAAATGTTTTTGTTTGGGATGCGACCTGAAAAAAGTTATCAACTCATTTAATGAAATGCAATATTTCTTTATGAAAACGTCAACTTATATTGAGGTCAGATAATTTTTCTTGATCTTTTATTTTTAAATAAGTCTTTATTTGGGATTTAGTAACGTGTCAATTTTGCATTATATAAGTGAGCATGAAGTAAATTTCTGAATTTTCTATAGAAAAGTAACGTTGCCTCTCATCTTTTCACATACAGAGAAGCTACTTTTTAAAGGAAGGTTTAAGAAGGTGAAAATTTTAGTTTTAGCATGTCATGTTACATAATGAATGGGAAATATTAAAGAACTTTGAACATTTTTATCAACTTATAGGGTTTCTGTTTTCAAATAGAGCAATTAATTTTGTGGGCATATATTAAATTCCCCCCAAAGTTCTCAGACCTTAATCAGGTAGTGTGGCTTACAATCATTTTCTTTTTAAGTTTTAATACTATGTAATCATTTAGTAAAAAGTCACCATCACTTTAAGTGTATCCTCATGGAGAATTTAGATTCATTTCAATTATTACACAAAATAATTTCAGATTTTAAACTAGTGAGCACATTTGAGCTTGAGACATCTAGTACCTTTTGTCACAAATTTAAAGTCTTATCAGTTGCGTCCAAAGTTCTTCCTTCTTTAGAATTATCTTACCTGTGTAAGTTGAACCAGGTTTACTTGCCTTGTGTTTTGGATCTGCTTGTGCCCTCCCCCATTTTATACCATCTGTGCCCTGTGCATTTGGGGACCCTTTCACATCTGGCTACAAGCTGGTGTAATGCCCTTCCTTTTGATCTGACTTCATCTAGTGATTTGCTCAGTATTTTTAAGGTCAGCCTGAAAACTTTTCTGTTCTAGTTATTTTTGATTTTATATTGTATGTTGTGTTTGATGTTCAGATACACGTGAAAGTTGCTTCTATAAGTCAGTAATTTTTATTCCAGCCTCTTGCAGCAATAAGGTAAGACTAGACTGTACTTTTCTTACTTGAAAATATAGTGATTTATGTTTTTAGTACAAATGTTTAGAGTATTCTTGCCATTTTCTAACCTGAGACTATATTGCTATGAATTTGTACTTCTTCCTTTTTCAAGTCAGAAGTAGACTGGGTTTTTTTAAATGTTATTAGTGTGTAGAACTTTATTTCGAGGCCTTTGTTTCATCTGTTGCCACTAATTCTCCCTCTGAATTTAGGTTCTTGTAGTATAGAAATGTCATTTTAATCCCCCAGGTTTACAATTTTATGCAATTTTATCAATCACATTGCCTAATCTTAATTAGGTTCCGTGTGTGTGTGGTGACTAACATAACACTGTTTGTTCCAGTGCATGTTGAAACTTTTTGTCCAACAGTTCTCATGTGTGTCACACTCCTAGCATGATACCTGATGCTTTGTAGGTTGTCTGTGGTATTCTGATGGGAAACAACTATTTCTATATTTATACTTCCCTGTTGAACACATTTGGTAATAGGGCTCATCTTGGCCTCTTAGAAAACATATTTTGCTTCTTTTAATTTTCTTTATTAAAGAATGGTTTTATTTTAGAATAAGTCAATTATTGGTTGAGCTTGGTGGCTCAGCCTGTAATCGCAGCACTTTGGGAGGCTGAGGTGAGTGGATTGCCTGAGCCCACGGGTTCAAGACCCATCCGGGCAACTTGGCAAGACCTCAACTCTACAATAAAAATCAAAAAAATTAACTGGGCATAGTAGTGTGTGCCTGTAGTCCCAGCTACTTGGAAGGCTGAGGCAGAAGGATCATCTGAGCCCAGCAGGTCAACACTGGTGTGGCTGTGAGCATACCACTGCACTCCACTCTGGGCAACAGAGTGAGACTCCAACTCAAAAAAGAAAAGAAGTCAGTATAAGTCAGCAAATAAGTCAGAATAAGTCATTACTCTTGTCTTTCTTTTGTGCTACAATTTGTCCATGAGATTCAGTCGTCCTCCATTTAGTCGAGCAAAGTGAATTTATTCTTCTTTTCTTGCCATCTAACTTTAAAAGCAAACAAAAAATACCAACAAACTGTTATTTCTTCCATTCATCTGCAGGCCTTTCTGTCTCTCACTGTAGAAACAAGCAGTTCAGGATTATGTGTGTGATGCCCAATTAATTTTATCACGGCGAATTTAATGAAATCTTTGAGGGGCAGAGCATAATGCTCTGAAAGTTTTTAAATTTTGTAGTATCTCCTTCTCATGTTTGCATCTGATTACTGCCACTATGCATCCTTTGTGTACTCTGTCTTCTAGTAGTTATTGATGCACTTTCTGGAATGTGTCCTCAGGTGGTTTTAATAGCATGGGTTCCTCTGCCTTTTCACCTTACATACAGTTTTTTGAAAGCCAAGACCATGCATGCCTTTTCTTTCCCAGCAATTCTTTTAGTGCAATAACTGCTGTTAAAGAACTTTTAACTGCTTTTCACTAAGGAGTGTATTAAAAATTTCTGGAATCCTACAGGATGATAGGTCTTTTGTTATAGGAAGAAAAGAAAACAGTAGCATTTACAGGGCTCAGCAAGTTAAAATATATATCATTGAAATATGTTTCTATTTCCCATCATCTGGCTAGGCTGTCGTGCTGACTAGCTTATTTCTTGCCAGAGAAAATAAGTTTAAATCATAAGCATATTTAACTAGCAAGTATAAATCATAAGTCCTTATAATCATAAGCATGTTGAACTCTGGTACCATTTGTACAGATGGCAGGGCTAAATGTGTGTGCTCCTCCCAGCATTAAAGATGTGGACAAGCTCTTACTCCCCAATTTCCTCTTTAACTCCGGAAACTTAAATCATTTGTTTTTGCACATATAGGATTCTATAAAGTAGGGACCTAGAGGAAGGTTTCAGGTCTTAGGAAACATTTGAGTTTTGTGATTCACTCTTACTGGGGAAGAACAATGGAAATGAAGGTTAAACACTTAAACAGTGTTCCCTTTTTAGGGAAAAGATAATTGGTGTTTCATGAAGATAGTCAAGTTATAAAGGACAAGACTTTGGTTTTTAGGATATATCTTTTTAAAAAACAAACATCATAGCCGGGCTCTGTGGCTCAGCCTGTAATCCCGCACCTTTGGGAGGCTGAGGTGAGTGGATTGCCTGAGCCCGTGGGTTCGAGACCCGCCTGGGCAGGGAGACCTCATCTCTACAATAAATCAAAAAATCAGCCGGGCATGGTAGCGCATGCCTGTAATTCCAGCTACTTGGAAGGCTGAGGCAGAAGGATCGCTGGAGCCCAACAGGTCAAGGCTGCGGTGGCCGGGAGCAGCCACTGCACTCCAGTCTGGATGACAGAGTGAGACTCCAACTCAAAAAAAATAAAATAAAAAAATGAAAAACAAACATCATGGAATCAAATAAAATTTTAATAGAGATCCATCGGCTTTCAAAGAGTATTCCCCAGGAAGCTAGCTCTACAGAAATATACTTTCAGATACTGAAACCAAGTTCTTACTATACAATATATATTTAAAGTATTTTTAAGAGTATAATAAAACAATAACACACCCGCACTGACATGCATTGCATGGCAAAATTTTAAAATTTTGGAAGCCAAAATTTATGGGGACTAATTGATTTTGTTTTATGAAACATCAATTTTTGAGACATTTTTATTGTAAAATAAAAGAATGGTAGAGAAAACCACACAAATGTGCAACTTAGTGAATTGTTAAGGAGAACACCCTTATGATAGCAGGTTGAGACATAGAACTTTACCAGTCACCCCAGAGGTTCCTCTTGTCTCCTCCCTCCCCACAAAAACGACCATTATCCTGCCCTCCAGCAGACACTTCCTTGCATTTTTTTCTGGTTTTATCACAAGTAATGGGCATTCTACATCTAGAAGCTCCTCTACTTACGAACATTGGTTCACAAAAGTTATTTATAAGTCACTTAAATAAATACAAAATGATACGTTGTAGCACCTGATACCCCCATAAGTTAGTGATTGGCAGAATTTGATATGTTCTTGCTGTAGTGCAAGACTCTGTTTATAGCTATAATATCAATAATAACAGCTAACATGTATGGAGTTCCATGCCATCCAAGTATATAAATTAGTTTACCTCTCCCTAATACCTTGTGAGCAGATGCTATCATTGCTGTCCCCATTTTCTATATGTGGAAACTGAGGTTCAGAGAGGTTAAATAACTTGCCCAAGGTCACACAGTGAATCAGTTGCAGAGGCAAGATGCATCAAAGATTCTGTGACTCCAGTCTGTTCTGCTTGGGTGCCTTGATAGAAGTTGAAGATTCCAATATACAAGAATTTTGAGATTCCTTACAGGAGTTCGTTTATAAAGAAAAGGATTTACAGCTTTAAGAAAAAGGTGGGAAAATTGCTGGCCTAGTTCAAACTTTTCATTTTACAGATGAAGAAATGACCCAGAAAGTATAAAGAATTTACTTAAGGTCACACAAACAGTTGGTGGCAAAGTTGCAGCCACATTCCCAAACCTCCTGGCTGTTAAAATCAATGATCTTCATTCTATACTTTATGTAGAAAAAATACATATTTTCTAACCTGCCTCTGTGCATCAGCTCCACGTGAGCAGATTTGTCCTGAAACCAGTTTACAGCTAAGACACACCATCTACTTGCTTATTTTCTCAAGGTTTTAACTGGGAATTAAAAAGTTTATATTTGAAGCTTGCTTTTCTGTCTCACTTATTGAGTGCCCAATCTGCAGACACACATGCCTAACACTCTTCTCCAAAGAATGTACAAGAATAACACATTTGACTGGTGTGGATGGCAGGTGAAAAAGAATTACTGGTATAGTGTGTAGGCCCTTAAACATATTCACGGCCAATTCCGGATTATCCCAGCACAGATGGATCATGCAAAATCCCTCTTCTGCTTCTCACTGGTGACCTTTAACTATTTGTGTTTGCAAATGCTTCTTCCAGATATTGGAAAGGAGAAGAACAGAGATGATGGAATTTGGTTTCTTGACCAGAGTGCTAGGTGTCTTGATTAAAAACAGAACAAAAAAAAATTTGGTAGTTTTGCCATGTAAGGGTATAGAGAGAATGTGGGATGGGATTCTCTCTCTGAATTGAACTTATCTGGGATCCCCAATTTAGCCTCAAATGTGAACAATCAGAAAGAAAGCAAACTGGTGTAATGCCAAGAGCTTA